TGTAAAATCACCTCCCCTGCATGGCCAGAGAGAGCCAGAGTCCCTAAAGCTGTAAAATCACCTCCAGAGCCCCTCAAAGCTATAAAATCACCTCCCCTGCACCGCCTGGGACAGGCTCTGCTGCAGGAACTTCCCCAAAAACTGCTGCTCATCCCCTATAGCCACTGCGGAGACAGGGGACAAACTGCCACAAACTCTTCTAGATCATTCCAGACCAACAGCTCAGGGGTGTCCTGGATGTTTTCACAACCCCTGGAGGGACAGAGGATAAACTGACAGCCACAAACCCCTCCAGATCCTCCAGCCCAGCATCTCAGGGAGCGTCCAGCAGAGATAGGGGACAACTGACTGTCACAAACCCCTCCAGAGTGCCCATCCCAGCAGTTCAGGGAGTGTCCTGGATGTCCACACCCACTGCAGGGACGAAGGACAAACTGACTGTCATAAATACTTCCAGATCATCCCAGAAGCTCAGGGGGTGTCCAGTTGGGACAGGGGACAAACTGACTGCCACAAACCCTCGAGATACCCCATCTCAGCAGCTCAAAGAGTGTCCTGGATGTCCACACCCCCTGGAAGGACAGGGGACAAACTGACTGTCACAAACCTCTCTAGAAGCCCCATCCCAGCAGATCAGGGAATGTCCTGGATGTCCACACCCACTGCAGGGACAAACTGACTGTCATTAACCCCTCCAGATCATTCCATCCCAGCAGCTCAGGGGTGTCCTGAATGTTCACATCCACATGGAGGGACAGGGGACAAACTGACACAAACCCCTTCAGATCATCCCATTATCTCAGGGAGTGTCCACCTGGATGTTCACACTCCCCAGCAGGGACAGAGGACAAACTGACTGCCACAAACCCCTCTAGAAACTTCCATCCCAGCAGATCAGGGGGTGTCCTGGATGTCCAAACCCACTGCAGGGACAAAGGACAAATTGACTGCCACAAATCCCTCTAGAACCTCCACCCCAGCAGCTCAGGGAGTGTCCAGCGGGCTGGGACAGGGGACAAACCGATGGCCATAAACCCCTTTAGATCATCCCATTATCTCAGGGAGTGTCCAGCTGGAAGTTCACACTCCCCAGCTGGGACAGGGGACAAACTGACTGCCACAAACCCCTCCAGACCCTCCATCTCAGCAGTTTTGGGGGTGTCCAGTTGGGACAGAGGACAAACTGACTGCCACAAACCCCTCCAGACCCTCCATCCCAGCAGTTTTGGGGGTGCCCAGCTGCTCTGTCTGCCCCTGCCAGACCGAAATCCCACCCTGAGCTCCTGCTCCACGCCGCGCCGGCGACAAAACGGCTGAAAATGCAACCAAGGGACGGGCGAAGCGCCAGGGGGGCGGTGGCAGTGACACTGGCGGCATTTCTGTGGCTTGGATGAGGTTCAGGAGAACAGGGGAGATCCCCCCCCAAGTTCTCAGATAAGGCTTCGTAAACACAATGATACAAAAAACATCGAAAACGCGCACACACACACACGCACGCACGCACAAACCGACG